TCTTCAACGTTCTTCCACTTCGTTGTCAATCCTTCATCTTCTTCTTTGTCTTCAAGAAGGGTTTCTAATTTCTCTTGCAATTCTCCATCAACAGCTTGAAAAAGTAGATCAACTTTGTGCAGCTCCAATGTCAATTTTTCTACCTTCGATAATTGAGAGTACTGCCTCTCAAATTCCTTTAGTAGCTCTGTTGCTTGCAAATTCTTATTAGGCCGTTCAATCCATTCCAAAAACAACTTTTTAGTAACGCGATCAGCATCTTTCAAGAAATATTCGTCTTTCAATGCATGTGAAAAAACCTCCCATGAATTCCCATAACAATCCATAATCGTTGTAATATAGTCTCTTATCTCCGGTATCATGGGAAGTCCAAATAATTCAACCATTTTCTTCTTAGAAACTCGATTTAATTCCATTTCACAAACATAACATCTTATATACCTTGAAATATTCCTTCCATCAAATTGATCAATTTTATTGACCACTGCTTGCAATGCTTTGGTTGCCAAAGCTTCCTTTCGATCATTGCTTTGTTGTTGCTGCATTGATAATGAGAAGGCTTGAAACATACTAGCAATAGGCGGATCCATGAGCATACCTTGTCCTTTAGAAGAACCCCCACCAAAAACTCCTCCCAAAGATCCTTCAAAATTTTTATTTTCGTTCTCCATAAAAATAAAAATAAAATCAAACAAAATCCAATACCTTCCACCTCAAGCTTTCATATTGGATTCACCACTTATATCGTATTATATGCTTTTCTGCTCGAGAACGCACCGGATGTGTGGCTGTAGAAGGTAGTATGGAGATTCGCTAATATTGAAGCAGTCTATCGGTTTTTGACTTTTGAAATATAAACGATTGCAAGAATATACCATAAATCTATACGAATGTCCTTCGACTGCTCGCCGAAATCTTTTTTGTCCTGGCCCATAGGTCTCGACGTTACAGAGAACCCCGAACAACCCAATCTGCTAATCTCTGATACTGCTTTATACTCACAACCTTGTATCCACTGACTGTCTTATTAGATTAATCCAAAAAAATTTCATTCACTCCGCATACTCAATCCTATAGACACCCTTTTAATTCTTCAATCACAGATGTAACTTCGATTTCACAAAACAGTCAAGAGTAATCACACCCACTTCATTAAAACCCTGATTCACCAATACAACACATCGACCTTTCTACATTGATCGCCAGAAGTCCCTTTTCTGACCCCTACCTTAGAACCTTGTATCCTCTTTTTTTCTTAACCTCCCTAATTCCCGAATCTCTGAATCCTCTCCTCCACCGTAACCATTTCTGAATGTTTTTTTTTTTCTCTCTTTCGGAAAAAAAATCCAGTTCACCAATACAACACTGACTTTCAGCAAGGATTGCCTCAGTCTTTTTCAAAACCCTATGAAAAAAAATCCCAATTCTCTGTCTTTTCCCCCCTTGAAGCATGAAGCTAGCTCTCCGACTCTTAAAACCCTAGTTCTCTCCCCTTCATTTCTTAACCTATCTTCTCCTTTAATCCTGAGAAGATCCTATTCTCCCACCTTGGACTCCTCAAATTGGAACAGTCGATGGAGCTTTCTCCCCCATTTTTACCTTTAAGAGATCCTTTTACCGAGAGGACGTTCCCAGAACAGCACAAAGAACGGAACAGCCTGAAATGGAATCAGAGCCCTGTAATTGGACTGCATTGGATTGCCCGACCAAGTCAGGTCTCATATTGGATAAGAGACCCGTAGTAGGACCTGGATTAGAGGTCTTCTGAAATTGGATCCAATTGGCTCCGCGGTCAGAGCTTTCTCCATTTTTTGCCTTTTAAAGGATTCTTTTTTCAGAAACAACATTCTCGAAAATGGCACAGAGAACATGACAGCCTGAAATAGAATCAAAACCCCCGTAATCGGGACTACATTGAGTCGCCCGACCAAATCAGGTCTCATTTTGGCTAAGAGGCCCGTAGTAAGACCTGGATGTTCCCGTAATTGGGTCAAATTGGTCCTTCGCGTCAGGCTCGCTCAGTCATCGATTTAGTCCTTCCGATTCTATTGACTTCCACTATTGGACTCGAATCGAGCATTTTGTTATTGGTAAGTATGCCCTGACCGACTATAATAGGATGTCTAAACTGGCCCTTGAATATTGGTATTGGAATCAATCATTGCTCCCAATATTCGAGGTAACTAAACATTAATAAAAGTCCCCTTTCTTTATATTTTCACGGTATACTCATATTACAATACGACAACGGTCCCTATTGTAGTTGGACAAATTGGTTTTCCGACATGCTATCTTCTTTGATTGCCATACTTCTCATTTTATGGTTGTGTCATTTCTTTGGGCAATGTTGAGTAGTGTGCTCAAATTTTCCACAATATAAGTACAATCCTTCCTGACGACAACGAGTCTTTTCTTGCTAAGTAAGAGGTTTAAAATGTATCACATCAATTTGCATATTCTCTACTTCCGAATATATGTGTTGAAGAGATGTTGGTGTTGCTATTAAATTATAGTAATGTTGTGGTCCACTTGTACGGTTCTCAGATCAAAATTTAAAAAGACGATTGTTGCACTTCACAGTAAAGTTAATTGCTTGACTCAATGTTTGAGGATCAGGTAAGTTGAGCATTAATTTATAAACCTCATATTGTAATCCATAGAAAAATTAGCTAACAAGTTTAGCATCATCTCACTTGATATTAGTTCAAGTTGTCAAAATTGTGAAGCATACAATGTTATTGATTAATTGCCTTGATGCAAAACATGGATCTTGTTGGTTGCAACACGAATTGCATTATATTTTATATACATGGATCAAAACTTTGCCAAAAAACCGTTCAAATTATCCAATATTGGATTTTGTTGTTCAAGAAAAGATAAAAACCATGATAATACTGAACCTGAAGGAAGCGTACTAATGAATCTAACTTGCGATCTTAGAGTTAGATAACTTTGGGATTGAAGTTCAATCACAAGTTGTACTCTATTGATAACCTCTAAACTTTGATCTAGTGCCATCAAACTTCTCGGGTAGGACAATTCTTGGTTTTCTAACACTGAAAGGGTGTTCCACTATAGAAGAAGGGACATGATTTGGTACAAATGTTGAAGTAGCTCTAATCATTTCTATATCTTCACTTCTTGTCAATCTTGTTGCTCCTTGTGGTGGTAAATTGAATTGATGCATCACAAGTATTAACTCCCTCAATTGGTCTTGCATTTGTACCATTGCACTCTTCATTTCAGTAAGTTCTCCCATGATAACACTTAGAAAAGAAAAGATATCTAATATTACTCAAGACAAATAGAAGAGAGGACTTGAGAACAAAGAAAATAGTATGTTAGGGACATAGTCCTTAGACCTTTCTAGAGACAAGTTTCTAGAACCTTCTAGAAAGAAGTCTCTAGAAACTTCCAGAAGATTCCTTGAATATTCTCTTAGAATATTCTTTGAAGATTCCCTAAAGATTTCTTTAGAAGGCTCTAGAAGATTCTTAGAATATTCTAGTAGATTCTAAGAAGTTACTTGAGAAGCTTCCTAGCTCTTAGGTAGTTGCTCGAGAAGCTTCATAGTTCTTGGGAAGCTTCTTGATGCGCTTCCTTAGAACCATAGGCCAGTAGTATATATAGGAGTCAAGGCTGAAGAGTTCTTCAGTCTCGACAACACATCTCTTGGAGTTCTAGCTCACCTTTCTGGTGTTGTTCTTATACTCATCTATTTAATCTAGTTCTGCCACTTCTTCTTGAACTTCTTATTAGATTTCAAATCTGTATTTTGTGTCCGTGACATACTAAGGACAATATCAGTATAAAAGAGGGTAATCCGCAACTTCTAATATGCTTATGTCTTATCAAGAGAAAGGGGTAATCCATTCTTAATCAAGATTAGATAAAGCTCTGATATTATAAGTGCATTCTTGTCAATGTGTCAAGGACAAGAACATGATAAAAAAAATAAACAAGTGAGACTTTTCTCAAAGAAAGATGAAAAAATAGAAATAACTTGATATGCATATTAAGAAAGAAATTAGAATGGCTATTGCCAAAAGACAAGAAAAACTAAAGAGCCTTGAAACTAGACTAGAAGCAAGAAAAGAGTTGACAAGAATGAAGAAGGCTTCACTCTTTTGTCTATATATGCTATCTAACTAGGGGCTACGTGGTGATGTTTTAAAGGACCTTCAATATGTATTGACTTTGTAGGACATGTGCTTTGACTTACTAGGTAAGTTTTTCTACGTGTGGGCTACATAGTTAGCTTGGTCTTCAAGCTAACAACATGTGTGGCATATGGCCAACTTGTTGGCCACGTTTCTAATCCAAAAAGTCAATTTAAGACACCTATAAAGTCAAAGTAGCATCTATAAAGCTTCTAAGAAGCTTCCATAGAAGATATTATAGAATTAACTTTCTTTTACGTGCTTTTTGTTCTACTTATTTATACATATAATTACTAGTTTACATGTGTATGTTCGTGACATGGTCTCAGGTTTGGTATATCTCTAACCTAAAGGATATCCTACACCAAATACTAATTATTCTTATTTAGTCTTTGAATATTCTCTAATTGATGCTTTATCTTCTTGACTTTGACTCTTAACCCTTAACTTTGTTTTATATCCATAAGATGCCCTATTTATATACCAAGAGTCAATTCATTGATAATTAGCAACTTATGTAAAATAATATCTTTTACAAGATAACTTATTCTACTTTCATTTTTACTTACTTATTTTAATAATGTTTTTGTAAAAAAAGAAACATAAATATGTGCTAAGCCATGAAGCATTAAAAAAACCAAAGCCTAGCTCATTTTGTATCAATACAATCAAGAAATATTTGTGTTAAGTCCTAAGAAATATTTGTTTTTTTGTCCATTTGTATTTGATGAAAGAGCATGTCTAAAAATATTAGAACCAAAAAAAAGAGAAGAAAAGCAAACAAACAAAACAATCAAAAGAAGAGTATGGAATAAAGGGTACTTAGGCAACAAGGAGAGATACATTTCAACCTGATCTTTAAAAAGGTATGAAAGCATTTGTCTTTGAGAATTCTTTGATCTGTTGCATGCTGTGCAAGTGCCAGCATTCAATCTTAAGAGGATTTGAAGACAATGGCTTGATCATTGCTAAGACTTGAGTCATGCTAGCTGATTGTACACGTAGCTGCCACGATCTAAGACATGATTCGAAAACATGAGCAGTTATCTTCCGAATCAACACTGCGTTACAAACAACACTATCAACTTTCAGGTGAAGCTTTGATTTCTAGGTGCTAATGGGCTCAACGCTGCCTATTTATCAGATCTTGCAGATTGAATGCTTATGAATCCAGTTCCAGGACTATGGGTGTGCAATCAGTGGTTTAGGTCGACGTTGAGCTACATTGATGCGCTTTTGATTCCTGCGTTGGGGGGTGAGAGGATTGGGAGCTTTGGATTTGGAGCATGGTGTGTGTCCAGGTTCCGGCGAGAGCGCCCACAGGCGGCGCAATTATGTAGATCCAAATGGCGTCATACTTGTTGGCCACTATTGCTGGTCCCAAGCTTCGCATTGGATTCATTGAAGCTCCGGATACAGGCCTGCAATGCGTCAAAGTGTGAACATCCAGAGTGAGGAACGCGGCATTTGTTCAACCTTTCATGGAATCTGTCATGCAAGCAAGCAACAACTTGTTGTGAACTTCGGAGGCATTGATGAGTACCCTGCAAGCAAGACGTTGAGGATGATAGTCGCCCCTATTGCAATTCCTGATAGCTCGCCATTCTGCACCCAATTACAAATTCTGTTGATTAGAGTTACGGGGCCATGAAGAATGATGTGACACAACGTTGGTGATTCTGTTGCATAGGCGATTGTTTAGAATGAATAAAGAAGAGATGAGTTTTTGATTGCGCACATTACTGGAACCAGTGGACACCGCCGTCGCAACGAACAGGAGGTTGAATCCTAGGATTAGTTCAACTACGAATGCTTGTGCATAGCTCGCAAATGGAACTGTCAGAGCTACTTCAGTATCCCCAGTTACCGCTTGTAGAATGCCTGCTGCGAGTAAAGCTCCTAGAAATTGTGCAATCAGGTAAATCGGAACCTGGAGGAGCGTCAATTTGGTGAACAAGTTGTTGCATGGGGGCATAAATCACTAGGACAGCATTTCATGAACATCTACAACGTTATCATCAACATCAAAAGGTTCTACTCCTTAATCACTCATCCTAGTTTAGAAGATTTCACCTATTTGCCTGAAAATGGAATTTGTGTGTCAGATTGTGAGGAGAAAAGACCACTTCACTCACAAGCTGTAATGGGAACATCTTCTTGGACGCGAAAGCGAGAGTGACGGCCGGATTCAGATGAGCTCCCGATATGTTGCCAACCGCGAACACCATCATCATCACAGACAACCCACCGGCGGTCGCGAATCCTAGCAAATTTAGGTTCCCGTTGGCTTTTTTGTTGGCGATCGCAGTACCACATGAACTAAACATAACGAGAAACACCGCAATCAACTCGGCTCCGGCCTGTCAATCACCATTTGCAACGCATCAGAAAAATCAAACCCAGATGACGAATCATCGGCAAAATCATAACCTATGGAAGAACATCGACGAGGAGCACGAAACTACCATTCGAAGCACCCTGTCATATGATGCGCCACCAATTCGATAGGATTCCCCCATTGTTGACAGCTTCTGGGCTTGCCACTCGTCGTGGAGCTCTAGGTGACCTTCCAACAGCAATGGCACTTGCAGCACACACTGATCTGAACTTTCGTGCAACTCAGCATTAATCCTACACTTGTTGCATGGTTTCGAATTCATCAAAGGAGGTACCACTTGCTCCATATTGAAAAATCCGCCACAGGTTACAGGCTGTGACAAGCTTTGTGTTAGAACTCCAACTTCCAAAAGACTATAAACCTTGTGCGGTTGCAGATTAACTTTGCCAGCCAACATTGTAAAACCTTCAATTAGAATGGTCGATACTTCCACCACAGGGAGCTCAAAGTTTTTCCCTGCTCCCACATTACCCCCCGTTGCATGTACCACGGAGATGAATCCGAGCCCATTTGAGCACAAGGGACCACCATATCCGCGAAATCGAAGTGACATTCACAGCGGTTCCAAATAATGGCTATAAGCATGACGTACATCGCAGTCAGGGTCAGTTTCAGACCCAGCGACTGCTGCCGTATCAACACAAAGAAAAAAGTAATTTGTGAATCTGAAAGCTCCTTAATCTAAAAGATTGCAATCTGTCCAGGACCACCTAACAAGCTTAACAAGCACCCAGCTCGTCGCACATGCGAGGTGCATGAAGTGGGTAGAAGCCATTGGTAGGTGATTCTCTGACCCCGTTATCAGCTACGTGGCTCGAGACCTTCTTCGTCCAGAAACACCGACGTCTGCAGCTCAAAAGCTTTTGCATGTCATACTCTCCACCACTTGTTGTATTCAAGGTTTTGAACACATGAAACCAACAAAACGTAGTCTTAATTGCAGCATTTTTTTAAAGAAGAGCATCAGCTGTGGCTTAAGATCACCCTTCCACAAGCACTGAATTGCCAAAGGAAAAGCTTTATGCATTGATTTCGAGGATTCACAGATACCCACTTTGGCAGGGAAGGCATGAGTGTTTCCAACTCATTTAGGTTTCTGGTTTATTTTAGATGCACAGATATTCATGGCGTTATGGGGTTTATGGTTAAAAAAACTGTTTTTGACACTCTGCTTGAATAGTAATCACTGGGTCTGTGTTGAAGTAGGAGAATGGGTTGGAGAATTGATTTTAAAGGATTGCATAATAAAGGAGAGCTTCCCACAAGACAGTTCCAATATCATTTTGTATGCAGTAGAAAGATGATATTTAATGAATATTTTTCATTTTTCAATGAATATTTTGAAATTTTCAGGATTTTTTGGTTTCTAGTTTTGAAGCAACCAGTGTTAGAACTGCATTGTGACATAATGGTATAGTGACTAGTTTAGGGTACTGATCCATATACTGACTAGTTTTGCTATCATTTCTAAAAAATATTATATTATGTTATTTTTAAACAAATTTATAAATTAAAAATAATAATCTATTAAGTTTCGTGTATTCTATTTTTAAATTATTTGAATTATTATATATGTACATATATACAAATTTATATATTAATAAACTAAAATACTTAAAATTGAGATTAACCTTGTATTTGATTGTTATTAAAAGAACATATGATTTATGTATTATAAACCATGACATTTTTCTATTATTAGAAAGAATCTAGACCTATCTGGCTTTTTTCGATTTTGCTAAAATATATTTATTGCAAATTTTAAATATTGGTTTGGAGATACCTTAATTTTAAACATCCAATAGATATTTTCACCAGTACATTACTATTATGTAAATTTTAGTTTTTTTAGTTTAATTTTAAAAAGAATATATATATATATATATATATATATATATATATAAAAATATATATATATAATGATCATTATTTATATTATATTAATTAGATCCAAACACTATCAATGATAAGTAGAATGGTTATTTGATTAAAAATCAGTTTCAATTGATAATAGACTGCAATTTCTTTACTAAGTTTACATGACTTTTATATATATATTTATTTTTTATTCATATTGTAAAAAATAAATACTTTATTTTAATAACATAAAATTCATGTTTTTTTATAATTAAGAATATACTATTTTTATAATTTTTGTAATATTACATGTGACAAATTTGTAGTTGCAATGTTTTATCTATTTGATAATCTTATCTTCTTTTTAATTTTATTTATTTTTATTTTTCACTATCAAATATTAAAGATTTATATAGATTTAAAAAAAACTATTATATGGCTTGTTTGATAGTTCAAACCTAATAAAAGTCAATAGGATTTGTAAAATAGGTTGTATCTTTGTTTATTTAATACATAATATCTTAATGATTTAACATATATAATATTTTTTAAGCTTGAAAATCATGCATAGATATTTGTACTTGAATTTTATGCAATTAAAAAATTGATGTTAAAAATTAATAATCTAGAAATATTTGTCATAGTGACTAAAGGATTTTAGATTGTATTTTTATCATGTAGATTAATTAGTAGTTATATTAGTAGTAATAGATTAATTTGAATTGTTTATTTTTACTCTCTTATAATATGATCATATACTAATGTTATTACTATGCCATTTTTTTATCTTTATAATTTAAATCTATATTCTATATATGTTTTAAATCACTTATCAATCTTTAGTTTATTTTTAAATGACAATTTGGATTTAGAACCACAAGAATTAGAAAAAAATGACTAAAAAGGAAACAAAAGTTAGATAGATTGGTAAGAGGGCAATAGTTGTCAAATTCAGCCACCAATGGTTTTTTTGGGATCTAATCTAAATACTTTCTATTAGAATAGGGATAGCAAAAATAAAAGATTTAAAGAAGTAAAATTTATAGTATTAGACATTTGAATCGTTTTAAGCATTTATGTGCTGGAAATAACATTTTTAAGAGCTTTGAGTTTTTTCTGGATGTGCTAAAGTAACTTAGAGAATTAAAGACATGTACTAACTGTACTAATTGAATCTTTTACTTTAATTTATAAATCAAATTTTGGATTTTTTATTTTAATTTGATAACTTTATTTAAATACTTTTCAACAAATAATTTTAAAGATAGTTTTAAACATGTCAATTTTTTGCTATTTATTTATTTTAAGTCAACGAGTTTTTTTTTATATATATAAGAAGAAATAGAAGATTAAACTTTAACATATCCAAGATACTTGTAATCCATATGCATAAACATTAGAGGATTAATTTTAATATCTATGAGACATATTTTAATATTTTAATTTTAATTTTTTATCAATTAAGATATTTTTTAAAAATAAGATTAGAAGATTTATATTTTAAAAGAATAGTAAAAATAATGATTAAGACTAATTTATAGTAAAATTCTAATGAGATAGCTTAAAATGATTGCTTGCTACAAAGAATCTGTAATTATTATAATTACATAGTTTTCATATTTAAAATTTGGTACCTATGTAAATACATAAAAATATTAATTTTCTAAATATTTCTTTATTTTATAGTTATTATCCATTATTTAAAGATAAGTAGATTATATAATCATTACACATATGCTAATCCTCTCTACTTTGCACCTTAGGTACTCAATGTAAAAATAAGATATAAAAAAGAGACTATGTATAAATATAATGTTAATCTAAAAACCTTTTCTAATAAAAATTCTATAAAAAATTTATTTGATTATGATCAAACAATAAAACATGATATAATTGACTTAATAAATGCATGATATATATTTATTTTAATAAAATTGAACCAAATGCTTTCATATATGTAAACAATAGTGTAAATATATATTGCAACTAATTAAAATATGTACGATTATCTGTTGGTATAAAAGATCTTATTTAAAATAAGAATCCCACAAATTTCTTTGGCTTGATGATAATACATTCAAATTTTTCAAATTTAAGAAACTTATATCTAAATTTGCTATCCATTTTGATTTTTTTTTTAAAACTATCTTACAAAGATGTAATATCAAAGGCCTAATAGGAAAGGTAATTAGGTTTTACAAATTTTAGGAATGACATTCTATTGATTTGGTAATACAAACTCATGAAGCCATGAAGGTGGAAAGTAACATGAAAAATCTCTACTAAACATGTTTTGGTATCTATAGTCATCTACCATAGATAGTTAATTGAATTTACCATTTTGTCTTATATTTTTCTAGTAGAAGAGAATATTAAGGTTTTTGAAGAGAAAAGGACAACTTTTTGGTTGACAATATTTTAATTTTTTATTTATAAATATATATTTTTTTAATGGAATTAGGAAGAATAAGTTAAATAACATTTTTTTAATATTTTAAAACCATAAAGACTATATTTCAACATGGTTTTATTGGTTAATTTTTTACTTTTCCAAGAGCAATAAAGAGAGGAGTTGAAGTATAACATCAAAATGCAAAAGAATAACCTTGGTAACTATCAAATATTACCTTGTGATGTTTTTTAAAAAAATTGAAAAAAATAAGAAAGGAATAAAATTAAGATAAGAAGGTGGGTTCTAAATCTTAGCTCTTTAAACTAATTTAAAATTTTAGACAAAATCAAGAAAAGAGAATTGCTTAGAAAAATTAGGTGGATTCCAAATTTTAGTTTTAGTTTTAGTTTTAGTTTTAATTTTTTTTTTTTTTTTTTTTTTTTTTTTTTTTTAAAAAAAATTTAAATTTAAAATATACATAGAGAAGAATAAAAGAAGATTTGATATCCTAGAGGTAATTTCTTAACCATTTTATCACTTCATATTGTAGTTGCATACCAAAAATATTTAATAATATGCATCATAATATTATCAACTTTAGTTCTCTTATTAAAAGAACTTGGTTGTTTTTGTAGTAACTGCTTTAATTTTACATGTTTCAAGAGAAATGAAGTTGGATTAATAATTGGCATGACTTCTTTTTTTCATTGAATTTATATTTTTAGAAAGTAATGATATCTATGAAAAATAGTTAATTTTTGTAAGTTATTTCATAAGTTGTCCTTTACTCAATCCATCTCTTTTTTGTGGTATTTATGTATTATAATTTTAAAACTATGAGTAATTTCTTTGGCCTTGTTTTTTAATCCTTTAATATAAAATAAATTCCAATTATGGGGTAATTCCTTTATTTTAAGAATAGTACAAGATCTTAACTTGGTTTTTAGTTAGAAATTATGCATTACTTGTGAAAAAAGATTTTGATTATTAGGTGACATTACTATCTTGAGATTGACATAAGATCTCATTTTAGTACAGAGTTAAACCATGTGTCTCTTAATAAGTTTAAAAATGAAAAGATTTTATGATATTTCATAAAATTAAAAATTAGAATTATTAGATTTATAATTATCTTAAATTTAAATCATTCAATAGGTCTTTTTGTCTCAAGTGATTAACTTAAAAAACATATATTTAGTTTTATGCTCCTTAGATTTCACTCTAAAGTAATTTATCTTATTATTGACTATGTTTTGTAATCCAAATATATTTTACAATTCTAAATAGAATTAAAAAATACAATTTTAAAAGCCGACTTA